CAGCAGCTGCACACAATAATACCAGTTACTGACAAATATAACAATCTGAAGCAGGTTAACAAATAGGACTAGTTCAGATAAAATCAACCAAATCTAATAAAAAACCTCCTCAGAATCAGCTGGTCCTTCATCTACAGTAACTTTATTTAATGAAGCAAAGTTCTACCGTCATACTATGAACATTTACAGAGTTTCAGACCCTTGAAGTCCATAGAGGACGGTCCACATTTATCACTTTAATGGACTTTTTCCATCGTTTCTGAGCCTCAGAACTTCATCAGTACAGCAGACAGTACACATGAGATTTTAGAATGAAAATCACATTTGAGTTCTGGTAAAAACTGCAATCAGATCAGTTTTACATCCATCCAGGAGTCACAGTCTGAACACTGAATCTGATTTCTGTTCTGTTCTTAGCATCAATATTATGGGATGTATGATAGTTTGAACAGTAAAACTGCAGCAGTCTAATGTCTATAACACAGATTCATAGAAACAGTCATTGGTACCCTGGATGTGTTTCTGTTTTCTAATATTTCACCAGAGAAAACTTTAAAAAGTGCATTCTGGGCAAACTTTCAAGACTCATACAGCATGTGTGATGGTGGTTGGTCAGAACAAGTTCTAGACAATGAAAGTATAATTTCACCTAGATTTGATACCAGGATCATCTTCTAGACATGTGGAAAAATCAGTTTGTAATTTAGAAATATTTTGACAAACACAATTTCAAATTTGAGATTCTATTCACGAGGAATTAAAACCATGATAATGCTGCTGGATGGAGCACTTCACTTGTGAACAACATTCACAAACGTGATTTGTTGGCTTCTATATCACAGACATTAATCTGGACACCTGGATGGACATAAAACTGATCTGGTTGCAGTTTTTCCCAGAATTCAAATATGTTTTTCCTCCTAAAATGTCATGTGTCTATCTGCTGTACTGATGAAGTTCTGAGGCTCAGAAATGATGGAAAAAGTCTTTTAAAGTGATAAATGTGGACCCTCCTCTATGGACTTCAAGNGGGTTTCCAGAATTGTGTAAAGTAATTTGGTCTGAATCTAAAAGATGCCGTTTTAAATAAATAAATCATGCACTCCGAGACTGTAAAGAAATATCCTGATTAAAGCAACATTATAAGATACAGCTGGTGTTTGGAGAATTTACATTTTGTGATAAAAAGAGCTGCAATAAAGTACAAATGACCTGAAATTAAATATTTAATAATGATAAAATGGACAACCACACGAGGTTTCACATTTTAATGATTCTGTTATACAGACAAGCTTCCCATAAAAACAAAAGCACTGAGCTGGCAAGGCATGCAGAAGATATGTACACTTAGATTCACCTTCTTCTCCCCGTCAGCAGCTTCTCTTTAATGCAGTGCAGAAAGGCTGCACAGTTATGGCTCATTTTGTTCTAAAGTTCAAATCTACCCACCTTTCGAAGCAATCAGAACTGCTTAAACCTTTATAATATCGGTACAATATTGTTCCATGCAAGTTGCTGCAGTGCCTTCATAAGACTTCTAAGTAGTCAGATATGTTTGTTGGTGTCTTGGTTTGCTACAGTCAGGTCCATGAACTCAGTACTGGCTGGAAAATCCTTCCCTTCTTTAAGTGGAGTCTGTGGAGCTTCTTTCCTTTACAGTGACGTCAAATCCAAGTTTGTGAAAATCATCAACAAATTAAAAAGTAAACATGATGATAGAAATATAAGACGTTAATACCTTAGAGAAGAAATAAACAAACGCTTTGTCAAAAACTGTGTAAAAAAAAAAAAAAGTAACAACAATTGTGGTTGCACACAAAAAATCTAAAAAGTGTTGATTTACTTTTACTCAACCAACGTCTTCTCCCTCACCTGGGAGTCGAGGTGCTTTTTTTTGTGTATAAAAACCCATGAATATGAATTCTTTTTGAAGGTCCAGTTCAGTTATAAATGAGCAGAAGTTGTGACACTGAAACTCTTCCTGGTCTGTGCGTGCGGATACCACAACGTGAGCTGCATTCGTGGATATGAACAGACAAAGACTTTCTTTGGGATGGCTAAAAACTAAAATGGCAGAACAAGTAAGGCAGAATTTTCCCTCAGCAGCAGGAGAAACTCTTCAGGATCCTGAGGAGAGAAAGACAGGTGAAATGAGGTTAAATGAGGTTCAGTGAGGTTCAGGTTTGTGCTGTAGGACATTCTGCTGCTGTGTTCTGTTACCTGGTGAGTCGCTGCTAAATGAGCCCTTTAACTGGATCGTGTTTATCATCCAGCTCCTCGTCAGAGTCTGAACACGAGAAGAACCAGTGAAGATGAAACAGCAAAATGTTAATTTGAAGATTTAAAGGAAACAGCAGATATTGAAATAAGCTTCTGATTCGCGGTTAAGGGCAAAGTTAAGAGGAACTTAACACACAGCTCATGTTAGATATTTTAGGTGAAGCTCTGATGCTGTCTAAAACCTACTTTTACTTTTTGTGAAGTATTATTCTATAAAAATGCAACTCAGTGAGATTTTTGATCTTTTTTTCTTTACATCTGGACCACATCAGACCAGGTCCACATCTAAGACTGATCTATAAAGATGAGTCAGATCTGGACTAGATCATCTGAAGACTCGTTAAAACACCGTATCTACTTTGGAAAAATGCAAAAAAAAAAAAAGGGAATTTCATTGCTATTTTTTACAGCTGGACAACATTAGACAAGATCCAGATTTAAACCACTACACTTATTTAAATCGAACACTGTTATAAATTAATTATAAATGAATTCCATAGAAATGGCAGCTTGCATGGACACAGCGGCCCTGTGAGGAGACAAGGAAAGCTTTGAGTGTTTTGTCTATCTCAGACGTTCATTCCACAAAACTTACAGCCAAGAGACTTTGCCGAACATCAGGGCAATGAACGTTGCTAAAATTGCGGCTGTTGGTTGTGATTTGGACATAATACACTGACATGGAGTCCGATCGGAGACTACGACAGAAGTTACCCGAGAGAGAAGGAAGCGCAAACGGTACGAAGATAAACAAAGGACGAGGAAGCGAGCCAGGATCCATGCTAGGCTAAAGGCTAACCCATCCAGACCAGCAGGACTGTCGCTCCTACTCTCCAATGTCCTCTCCCTCCACAACAAGCTGGACGAGCAACGTTTGCTGGGAGAAACCTGCAGAGAGTGGAGGGACTGCTTTGTGTTTGCTTTAACAGAAACATGGCTCCATGACAACATCCCAGACGGACATACAGCTGGAGGGGACGACATTGTTCCGGGCGGACAGACAGACAGCTAACTGAACTTTTCCAGAGCTGCTAGGGTAGCAGGACACTGAACATTGCCAGGGACTCCTCACACCCTCTCCATAAACTGTTTGATCTGCTGCCATCAGGCAAACGTTTCCAGAGCACTGAAGGAAAAACCTCCAGACTGATCAACAGCTTCAACAGCTTCATTCCACAAGCTGTCAGAATGCTGAACTGCTGATCCGGACATGTAAACACTTCTTTATTTAATTGCTTTTAGTTTCTGGATCCTGAAGAAACGCTCTCTCATCTTGTTTTTATTGCTGTTGTATGTACAGCAAAATGACAATAAATTTGATTTGATTTGATTTGATAAAGAGACTTCAGTGAGACAATGTCGTCCAGATTTGACAGGTCGAAGTTTATCGGTTTTCAATCTGTACCTTCTTTAAAGTAGTCCAGGTGTGAAAAAAGAAATGTTGCTTTTCTGCATTTTTACAAACATGATGAAGGTTTCCCAAACAACAGACTGTCTTCTAAAGAGTCTTTAGCCTCTGTGAGACAATCTAGTCTACATGTGACCAGTCCGTATGCAGAGGTTTTAAATCTGGATTTGGTCTGATGAGGTCCAGAAGAAGAAGAAAAAGAGTGTAAAGCTAAATTGAAAGTTGGGAGAAACAGACATCACTAAAACCAGGCTTTACCTGCCAGAGACTCTGGAGGAGAGTAGAACTGTCCGTCAGATAACGGACCGGGACCGATGAGAGGAGCTCGCTCTGTGGCGTCCATGATGGACTGAAATCCTGCAACAGCGAGACGAGGACACATGAAGAGAGCAGCAACCGCAGAGAAATACTGCAGAAATACCTTTTCATGAGTAACAACATCAGCAGAAATCACAGCGATGACAGTAAATAAATGGAAAGTAACTTTAGAAGAAAACATTTATATTAGTATTTTTTTATTTATTTTATTATTTTTTATTTTTTATTATTATTATTTTTAAATCATTTACATCACCAATGACACTGTAGCACTACGTAGAGTGGTAATTACAGTACTACTACAGAGTTTAGAACCTGTAGTTAATTAATGATATTAGTAAAGCAGCAGTAGTAGAGATGCAGTAAAGTATCATGGCTCTGACTTCTCATACTGTTGCTATAGTATAACTACTCAAACTGTTGTTTCGTTACTATTAATGCTAGTACCAGTACTACAGTTACCAATGTGGCTGCTGTGTTTCTCTGACGACTACAACCTGAGCTAATCCTACTATAGTAGCTGCTATTGGTGGTAAAGTTGGCTGCTGTAACACTGCTGCTTGCCCCACTGTGGGACTAATGAAGGTCGATCATATCGATTAGCAGTACTGCAGTGTCATGGTAGAAGTAACTGTATTCACACTTAAATAAATACGGTTTTTTAAAAAAATAAATAAATAAAGAAAACCTTCCTGAAGTGCAGTTTTGAGGAAAACAGTACTTCAAGTAGTGTCTTATGGTACTCACAGTGGTGTAGAAACGTTTACCTCTACTACTGCATGAGCAGTACTGACTACATTTATTATTCCAATACCAATGGAATGATCACGACTACTTCAAGTACATTTTGCTCATTTGCTTTCTGAGTTTTAATGTATCTTATTTATTGTAACTATTTTTATGTAGTACAGTAGTTTTTCTTTATATTCACAAATATATTTTGTGAATTTTCTGATTAATGTGAAGTGCAGCTGCAGCACTTGTTGATGAATAAAGTCCTCTATCACTCTGGCAGCACTGATGCTGATTTAATGTTTGCTGGTTGTTAAAGAAGCGACTGAAACTCACTGTTTTCGTCTTCGGCCTCCTGAGGCAGAACCTTGAAGTCGAGCAGCCACGTTTCTATCCAGGCCAAGACGAAGGAGATGATGGGTAGCAGGTACCCAAAGGCCCCCTGAGACAGCAGCTGCACACAATAATACCAGTTACTGACAAATATAACAATCTGAAGCAGGTTAACAAATAGGGCTAGTTCAGATAAAATCAACCAAATCTAATAAAAAACCTCCTCAGAATCAGCTGGTCCTTCATCTACAGTAACTTTATTTAATGAAGCAAAGTTCTACCGTCATACTATGAACATTTACAGAGTTTCAGACCCTTGAAGTCCATAGAGGACGGTCCACATTTATCACTTTAATGGACTTTTTCCATCGTTTCTGAGCCTCAGAACTTCATCAGTACAGCAGACAGTACACATGAGATTTTAGAATGAAAATCACATTTGAGTTCTGGTAAAAACTGCAATCAGATCAGTTTTACATCCATCCAGGAGTCACAGTCTGAACACTGAATCTGATTTCTGTTCTGTTCTTAGCATCAATATTATGGGATGTATGATAGTTTGAACAGTAAAACTGCAGCAGTCTAATGTCTATAACACAGATTCATAGAAACAGTCATTGGTACCCTGGATGTGTTTCTGTTTTCTAATATTTCACCAGAGAAAACTTTAAAAAGTGCATTCTGGGCAAACTTTCAAGACTCATACAGCATGTGTGATGGTGGTTGGTCAGAACAAGTTCTAGACAATGAAAGTATAATTTCACCTAGATTTGATACCAGGATCATCTTCTAGACATGTGGAAAAATCAGTTTGTAATTTAGAAATATTTTGACAAACACAATTTCAAATTTGAGATTCTATTCACGAGGAATTAAAACCATGATAATGCTGCTGGATGGAGCACTTCACTTGTGAACAACATTCACAAACGTGATTTGTTGGCTTCTATATCACAGACATTAATCTGGACACCTGGATGGACATAAAACTGATCTGGTTGCAGTTTTTCCCAGAATTCAAATATGTTTTTCCTCCTAAAATGTCATGTGTCTATCTGCTGTACTGATGAAGTTCTGAGGCTCAGAAATGATGGAAAAAGTCTTTTAAAGTGATAAATGTGGACCCTCCTCTATGGACTTCAAGCGAACCGGCGACCTTCTAGCTGCACCTTGCAGCCCAGGTAAAACTCTGCTTCACTAAATATACTAAAGTTACTATAGATGAAGAATCAGCTGATTCTCAATCCGAAATCAATTCCAACAACTAAAGAAATTCTATGAGATTTATGAGACACGTAAATGGTGCCAATCATCGATAGAGAGTGAATAAAATTCATACTTAACAATAAAGTCAGCACAGTTCTTTACCAAGGAGTGAGTTAAAAAACGGAAGGATCACATTTACAATAAAAGGATGAAACGAAGATAAGTAGATGACAAAGGTGTCTTAAAAAAAGGTTGTATTTCTGAGCTGCTTGTGTCTCCAGACGCATCATTAGAGTCAAAAATCATCAGTGAAGAAGGAATAAGATCTCAGAGCAGAAACACAACTTCCTTTAGAATATTTATGTAGAAAGTAAGTACAAATGTCTCCTGTTGCAACCATGTTACTCTTACCTTTGATAAAATGACTTTAGCAATCAGGAAAGCACAGCTGACTGCAGTGGTGATCTGTAGGAACAGAAAACATGATTAACTGGAGGTGTATTTAGCACATTTTTATGTGATTGCAAAAAGTTTCATTTGTGTTTCATTTTACATTTCTTATCAGGAATTTATGATATTCATCTTTATGATATTTTAACAGAACTTGTATCATCTACAATTAAGTTGTCTTTCTTGTGTGTCAACCGAAGACTACATTTTAGTAGAAAATATGGATCCATCCATATATATA